TTGCAAAAAAAACAAGGAGGGGTTGTGAAATCCCCCCAGTTTGACCAAATTTCCTTAAACTTAGACTGAAGTAGTTTTGGGTGGACCCCTTTAAACTGGCAAAGTTTCATTGAAATCGGTGAGATGGCTTGTGCCACCCCCGCCTGGTCCTATCGTGGATGCACTCTTAATCATTATTCAATGTTGAAAAACAATAATAGGGGAAAAACTTTACGGGGGGGTTAATAGTTTTTATTGGCACTGTATATACTGCCTAGGTTGCTAGGTCATAAATAAATGGTACTCATCAAAGCTGTACCTGAGTTTTGGAAACATGGTGACCACATCAATACCAACAGGGCAAGAAATAAGACAGCTTTGACACAACAGATAATTCACCATTATTCTTATCTAAATCATAAAAGGGTGCCTAACATGAGATACAAGTCTCTCTGTCATTGCATCACCATTTCGTGCTTATTTTTTTAAATCTCATGTTTGTTGAATTATTTAAGTTTAAAAGTCATTGTACAGAATGGGTGTGCTGTGATGGAGCATGTCGTGCCAGAGATTATTCAACCTAGAAGAGATGAAGACATGGGTCTTTATTGTTGTACTGTAACACTGAAAAGCAGTGCTTTTTAAATTCATGATGAGATGAAGATGTAGAAGAGTAACTGTGGTTCCAGTGAAATTTGAAGAGGGTGAATTGATCATAGCACTGTAACAGCAAATAGGTTCATGGTTCATTTTACATTAGTTTTGTTAATTTTGTCAAAGTGTGTGGGAGGAACGAAGACACCAGAAGTCATCTTCACAATCTTTCTGAGGGAGCTATTGTAACCACTACAAAATACCCAACAAGTAGTTTTTGTTTGTTTGTTTTTCTTGTTTTTTTTTTGTTTGTTTAAAGCTTTCTGGGAGATCTAAAGTCCTTAAATATGGATGGATTTCATTTTATTCCATGCAAACAAAATCAAATCAAAATTAGCCTGGCTGTCAGAAAGAAAAAGCAGCACTGCAATTCAAGCATTGAATTGGACCCACTGTAGAATATTATAAAGACCAGCATTTGATTTGCTATTAAGGGGTTTAACAGGGGCCAATGGGCCTGTCATGGAGATACTGTAGAAAGAGAAATATTTCAGGACTATATCAGAAATGCCAACCCAGTTTTTTAAGTCTGTCTGGTAGTATCATATGGTCAGCTGTGTCCAAAGCAACAGTAAGAACAGGAGCAAGACTGAAATTTTCAATTAATTTGCAGATGAATATATTTTTGAATCTGGTAGAATAAAAATGAAAAAATAAAACAAGTTGTTACATTGAACAAAAATATAAACACAACACTTTTGTTTTTGCTCCCATTTTTCATGAGCTGAACTCAAAGATCTGAGACTTTTTCTATGTACACAAAAGGTCTATTTCTCTCAACTATTGTTCACAAATTTGTCTAAATCAGTGTTTGTGAGCATTTCTTCTTTGTTGAGATAATCCATCCACCTTACAGGTGTAGCATATCGAGATGCTGATTAGACAGCATGGTTGTTGCACAGGTGTGCCTTAGGGTGGCCACAATACTCTAAAATGTGCAGATTTATCACACAGCACAATGCCACAGATGTCGCAAGTTTTGAGGGAGCGTGCATTTTGCATGCTGACTACAGGAATGTCCACCAGAGATGTTGCTGGTGAATTGACTTCTCTACCATAAGGCGCTTCAGAGAATTTGGCAGTGCATCCAACCGGCCTCACAACCGCAGACCACGTGTAACCACACTAGCCCACGACCTCCACATCCAGCATCTTCACCTCCAAGACACCCGGACAGCTGCTGCAACAATCGGTTTACATAACCAAAGAATTTCTGCACAAACTGTCAGAAACCATCTCGGGGAAGCTCACCTGCATGCTCGTCATCCTCATTGGGGTCTTCACCTGATTGCAGTTTGTCGTTGTGACCGACTTCAGTGGGCAAATGCTCGCATTCGATAGCATCTGGCACTTTGGAGAGGTGTTCTCTTCACGGATGAATCCTGGTTTTCACTGTACAGGGCAGATGGCAGATGGCAGACAGCGTGTATGGCATCGTGTGGGTGAGTGGTGTGCTGATGCCAATGTTGTGAATCGAGTGGCCCATGGTGGTGGTGGGGTTATGGTATGGGCGAGCATATGTTATGGACAATGAACACAGGTGCATTATATTGATGGTGTTTTGAATGCACAGGGATACCGTGACAAGATCCTGAGGCCCATTGTTGTGCCATTCATCCACAACCATCGCCTCATATTGCAGCATGATAATGCACGGCCCCATGCTACATGGATCTTACACAATTCCTGGAAGCTGAAAACATCCCATTTCTTTCATGGCCAGTGTACTCACCAGGCTTGTCACCCATTGAGCATGTTTGGGATGCTCTGGATCAGCGTATACGACAGCATGTTGCAGTTCCTGCCAGTATCCAGCAACTTGGCCTAACCACTGAAGAGGAGTGGACCAACATTCTACAGGCCACAATCAACAACCTGATCAACTCTATGCAAAGGAGATGTGTTGCACTACGTGAGGAAAATGGTGGTCACACTAGATACTGACTGCTTGTCTGACCCCCCCCCCCCAAATACAGTAAAACTTCACATTTACTTTTACCTTTTATTGTGGCCAGCCTAAGGCCCACCTGTGCAACAGTCATGCTGTCTCATCAGCATCTTGATATGCCACACCTGTGAGGTGGGTGGATTATCTCAGCAAAGGAGAAGTGCTCACTAACACAGATTTAGTGAACAATATTTGACAGAAACATAGGCCTTTTGTGTAAATAGAAAAAGTCTCAGATCTTTGAGTTCAGCTCATGAAAATTGGGAGCAAAAACAAAAGTGTTGCGTTTTTATTTTTGTTCAGTGTACTTACAAAGGGAAGGTTTAATGGTTTGTAGTTGCTAGGCACAGATGTCACAATCTGAATGTGTAAAATACAGATCAGTGCTTACACAATAGAACATCTATTGTGTAACAAACAGCAAATTGACCAGGGCAAGAGAGCTTAATGATCAATTCATGTTTATGTACTAACTTTTCTCTCACCCTGTGTTGCTCAGGACTACACCATCACCATGTATTTCCAGCAGTCCTGGAGAGACAAGCGCCTCTCCTACACAGGCATTCCGCTCAACCTCACCTTGGACAACCGGGTGGCAGACCAGCTGTGGGTCCCTGACACCTACTTCATTAATGACAAGAAGTCTTTTGTCCATGGGGTGACAGTAAAGAACCGGATGATCAGACTGCACCCTGATGGAACAGTACTCTATGGGCTTAGGTGAGGGCTGTTTGTTTGTCTTTCCTTCTCAAAACCTGAACTTTTGTTGCCCTTGTTAGCAAGTTATTTCTTTTCATTACCACTGTATTAATAAACTGCAACCTTTTGGATGTAGATCAGATCATCATAAGTCAAAAGCCAGACCAAGTACATATTTTTTGTGTGGTATTTGGTGGAGGACAGAGAAAAGCAGTTGTTAACAATGGAAGAAGTGGCACTGATGCTTGTTTATTTAACATTAACGAGAAGACGAAATACAACAGAGAAACAATGGCCATGTGATGGCCTGCAAAGCCAGTTCATAATCCAAAATGATATTCAGTACATCAGACTACTTTATTATTTGCTTTTTTCATCGTTTTGTTCAATTTATTTTTACCCATCACTGTTTGACCATTTGTGCCACATACAATTCTCCTTGCAATATTCAACATGGACTGAATAAGTCCATATTGAGCAGACTTCTTTTCTTGAAGCGTGACTTAACTATTTTATACAGTTGCATATCATGTATTTACTCCCAGTTCTCCCAGTGATTTGCCAAGAGAACATTTTTAATGTAAAGCAGCAGCAGGAGAATGCTGCTAAAGCTGCTACTCATGCCATTCATCTGTTTAGACACAGTGTAACAGTCTACAAAGCACTGACTGTGGATAAGATACTCTGTAAATAGAAAAAGAAATTACAAATAGGTACATCAGAATGAAATATCAGTTAGAAGCCACAAAAATACTGAGAACTAAACACAAACAGAAGGAAAAAACATGTGTTCGTGACTTTGGCAGCTTGTTCACAGTACCTCAATAAAAACAGCTTTACATCTCTTATGCCACAAAAAGGATCTGTAAAGTTCAACAAGACTGTTGTGTTATACTAAATATTTGCTGAATGAAAGTACATAAGTATTACCAAAATGTATGTGTCAAAAGTAGAAGCACTCTTACCAAATAGTTTGTACCAAAAAGGTCTTTCTTTACACTGTCAGCATACTGCATATCTTCTTAATTAGAAGTCTTTTCTTGCCCAAGTTTTTTATCTTAAGTTTACTAGGAACCATTGCTGTAGTTAGCTTTTATCTCAAAGTCAGACTTTCTTGTGTAGCAAGCTTACTTTAAGAGCTTTGTGTCACATAGCTTTCAGTGTACAGTGTGTTTTTACCTATTTTAACGGGTCTGAAGCTCAACCGCAGGATGACAAAACACAGCACTACTTTAAAATACAACAATTAATTTCCAGTATTTAATATATACATAATATGTACAGGAAGTCAACAATGGGTCGAGGGGAAGTGACGTGGCTATGGAGGTTCTGCAGTAGATCGTGAGAAATTGGTCATTATTACAATGTGTGTCAACCAAGCGTTTAGCAAAAGTGTTGTGTCATGGTGTCATGAACAGGAAATAGAGAAATGTCTCCCTTTTGAGCAGTCTGACTGTCTTGCAATTCTGGATTAATAATTAAATGAAAGGCTACTTCATGCTTTTAAGCTTTTCCAAAGAGTGATCTTCTTAACACCAAAAAAACAGTTAGTAGCAGCTGACTGGTGTGGAAAACATTCCTTTAGAGGTTAGGTGTTGCTATTTCTCCATCTCTTCTAGGGCTTGCAGGGACAACCAGCTAGTGAATCATTCATGGACTCTCCCTTAGTGCAGAACACAGGCCATGTCTAAAGTAGCAGAGCATAGCTACAATGCAGGGATTTAACGAGGTGGCGCAGTTGGTTAGCACTGTTGTCTCGCAGCTAGAACACACAGTCCAGAAACATGCTGAGGTTAATTGGTGATTCTAAATTGTCCATAGGTGTGAATGTGAGTGTGCTTGGTTGTCATTGTAGCCCTGTGATAGACTGGTTATCTGTCCAGGTGTCCCCTGCCTTCGCCCTAAGTCAGCTCCAGCCACCCTGCGACCCTGGTGAGGATTAAGCGGTGTACAGATGATGGAATGGATGGATCTAACGAAGGAAACTGTCACTGCCAACATTTTAGTCTTCTGAGTTCAAAATCAATCTGTTAGACGAAAAAGCCTGATGAGACATGAGACAAGCCAATTTTAACAAGGTACTACTTTGACTTACATCAAGGCTCATCTTGGATCAGCACCTAATTCTGACATATTTTTTTCCATGTACCATAAAGTGGGTATCACAATGTTTTAGTGCTTACAACCCTGTAGGTTTTTATGTGAATTTTTCATGATGCAAAATGTAGTACAAGTATGGTTACTACATCAAGAATATAGTACTGCCATCATCTGATCTCACCACATATGTGACATGGGGTTCAAGTCTAGGTTGGATCTGGGTCACTCAAGAAGACAGGAAGAAAACAGGTACAGAAGCCACTCTAGAATCATCATGGTTGGTTAACTGTCATACTTGCCCATCGCCCTAGTCATAGGTTGCATGCACTCTGGAGCAGGCTTTCTTCAGGACCTCCCTGTTTTAGCTGCATTCATCCTTCCCTCGGTGCTGACCAATCCTGTCTCTGCTACTAAAAAAAGCTCCCTTTAGAAAATAAATTGCAACTCTTTTAGGATTCTCCATTATTTTACCCTTCCCTCAAGCTTTTGTCCAATAAGAATATTTTCCTGTAAATCGCTCATATTTTCAACAATTTCTAAAACAAACAAACAAACAAACTGTTCATGGTATGTATAACAGTCAGGGCTATTTGACGTGCTTGCCACATTCTCCTCTGGTAAAGTAGGTGGCAGTTTCGGAGAACCTTGCATTCCATCCTCTCCAAGTTTACTGTCAGCAAGACAGTACTATTAGGTTGAAGCACATGTCTCCAGTCTGTCTGTCTCCCTAACCTAGATGGGCAAGACATCTCTTGGTTTGTCTGTGTCTTCCTTGTATGTAGCCACTTCCAGGCCTCTTCTGTGGCTTGATGTCTATGGCTTGATAAATATGTATATTTCACTTTCACTTTTGTCAGGGGGCTACAAGGTGGTTAGCACCATTGCCTCGCAGCAAGAAGGTTGCCGGTTCGCGTCCCGGTGAGGACACCTGGGATCTTTCTGTGTGGAGTTTGCATGTTCTCTCCATGCAGTGTGGGTTCTCTCCAGGTTCTCCGGCTTCCTCCCACAAGGTCCAAAAACATGTTGAGGTTAATTGGTGATTCTAAATTGTCCGTAGGTGTGAATGTGAGTGTACTTGGTTGACTGTCTCTAAGTGTAGACCTGCGATAGACTGGCCACCTGTCCAGGGTGTCCCCTGCCTTCGCCCTAAGTTGGGATGGGCTCCAGCAGCAGTGTACAGATAATGGACGTTTGTCAGGCACAAACGGGCAACGAAGTTTAGAGACTTCAGTTTAAAAAAACATATCACATGCGAACAAACGTTCATATCTGTATGCATTAAATGAAACTTGCGCTTTCCAGCAGCAACCTCTGTGGGACCAGTCCAGACAATATATCGGAAAGGCAGGTGGCACACTTATTGTGGCTTAACCCAGCCTCATGGCAATTCATGACATAGTCACAAAACTTAATCTATTCTTTCGTGTCCTGGGACACAATTTGCCCAACTTTTTCATGTTCCCCAGCACGAATTTCAAGCCAATACATTTCAATTGGAATTATTTTTCGCGACTGGGTCACGTTTTTTCCTCTATGTGACAGGGTTGCCTTTGCAACGAGTGCAAATTTCCCCCAAACACTGCCAGTGTAATAAGAACACAAAAAATACCACTATACGATGTACTCTTTTAAGCTTATTTCAGTCCACACATATTATACTTTAACAGTAGCATATTTGTCAATATTTCAATCCATTTATTTTTGGTTTATTAAGACAAAAACACAACCCTAGTTGTAAACCCCAAAAAGAACTACTTATTTCATGGCATGTCCATACACATTGTATTGTAATGCTACTGGAAGTTGAAATTTTTCTTCAAAATAACCATTTCTCCTAAATGGAGGGTGAAATATAAAACTTTTAGTACATTTAGGAGTTTAAATTGTTGAGAAGCACATTTTTTGGACTGACTTCACAAATAAAAATTGATATATATATATATATATATATAGATGAAATTAAATTTGGTGGTGAATATTCAGAGATTAAAATTGCTATCCCAGTACCAGCATACCGACCGAATATTCAGATATTTGGCTATTCAGGTCCAACCCTAGTGAATATTCGTCAAGTCAGAGTCCATATCTCAATCTAATTGATCATTTGTAGCTGAATTTGAAAAGAGCTGTTCACTCACATCCCAATGTAATCTGACAGAGCAGACCGGTTTATTTCTGTAGCAAAGGGGCATTAAGGTTTTTCAAGATGGTGCTACCTTGTGTGCGACATAGCATAGTTCTCTAAGTGAAGCTTTACGTAGTTTTTGTCTTGTTAGTGTTGTTATTGTCTTTTAGATAGAGGTATGGTCAAGCAAAATCCATCCATTTAACCTGGCGGTCAGTTTCCAACCTGTTTCTTCTCCATGCTGGACACGTCCCAGGTTACTGCAACGATATCACTGACTCTCTTAACTCCATTTGTAATAGATTGCTCCTCTTTCCATCATTCAATGTAGCTACACCCAAACCAGTGCAAAAGTGTGTTTTTATGTGTTCTATTTTTATTGTTGGAGCCTTGTCAAAGGAGAATTTCTGTCACTGTTTGTGACAGACAATAAAATCTATCTATCTATCTATCTATCTATCTATCTATCTATCTATCTATCTATCTATCTATCTATCTATCTATCTCATCATGAACACAATACTCATTTGCATCCAACAATCAAGCTTCAGTTTATTGGTGTGGTCCTAGCTCGTGAAAGGCTTTTGTTTTATTTGTCCGTCATGTTAACAATCAATAATTGATTAATCACTGAATTACAGCTGACAATTTTCCCGATGCTTTTAAAACAGTTTTTAACTACTCACACTTAAAGTTTGCTGTGAAATAAGCTCGTTTACATTAGAAATTTAAAGAACAGATAAGGTAAACACCAGGTTACTAAAGTAGAAATGAAATCGCAAATATCTATGAAAAA